AACCCAGGTACTGAAGCTTGGTAACTGACGGACGAGGAGTTACAGAAAAGATATTGATTTCCTGCAGACATCATTAAAAAACTTGTCAGACTTCAATGACTGTTTTTTTTGGGAAAGAAAAACACGACGGAACCAAGCGCTGATACCACGAAAGTTTTTAATCATTGTGGATTTAAATACACAAAACGCGGCTTTTCATCTGCACATGTAAAAATACACACATGTAAAAATACAATCCCAAGGACAACCAGATGAAGCAGCTATTGTTAAAAAACCATCAACATAGCATTTATTTTCAAGCAGCTTGTGATCACAGCGCATTTCAACAACTGCATAAATAAGATCTATATATTTACTGTATAGGCCTACAGTACATGTATTTAGAAAGGTCTTACCTGTCAGTGTCTCTGCAAAAGTTTATTCTATCTACATGTACTGGCATGCGAGCAGTTCCCGTACAAAAATCGTAGTTACTTAAACATTATTTTTTATTACGGTCACTCACCAAAAAATTGAATGTTACACATCAATATTCGGCTCGTCACACAAATCATGGAAATTCCATCATGTTCTAAACATAGAATAACCCTTAGTTATGAGGCCTCATATGGGGTACCGAAATTAACCATTATTTTGTATGAAGAGAAGTAGTTCCCGTACATAAAATTTAACCCATTATAATTATATAATTTTATTATATCGAACCTATTTTTCATTTATAATTGTTGAACAGACCATTTTCTAAGAGATAAATAGATGTAATTCAGGAAATAGAAAGCAGACTAAACGCGTGTATCTATTACCCGGTACCGTTACCCCCAATGCATTCACATGTGATGGCATGCTTGTATGCATGATATTTTATGCATCAAAGCCATAAAATTATTTTATATAGTAATATTGGTCAAAATTCTGATAATTAAACAAGTTTTCATCACATTGCCTTCTTATCTGTAAACAGGTGGTATTAGTGGAAAACCCTTTAACATGCCTCACGTGTAAGTATGTTTGCGCATGCGCGCAAGGACGGAATCCCCCAGATAAAACAAGGTCACGTTTTGACAACGCACAGGTGAAAGTGATTTAAAATGAGACTTTTTATACGTACTGTCGAACTGACGCTTAGATTTTGTCTCGTTTATGTATCTGCTTGATTTGAAATGAATTTTTAAAGAATGCATGTAAAAATCAAGCGTTTAAATGAAAAATACGGGTACTGCTTCTGTACGGGAACTGCTCGCATGATAGATTAATAATATCCCTCGGATTCACTCCTTTATGACACAAAATCACAAATCAATATAATATAACAAAAAATTATCCACGATCTCTTGTTTATATTTATATTAGTCAATGAATAAACTATCTTGTTTTTTAAAGTTGTAAACTTGAATGAAGTTTCTACGTCATAGTGTACACGATGACATCAATAATATTGATTACATCACAGCTTTGTGTATGGAAGACAGGTTTCGCCATAATTATTGTTCAACAAGCACACACATACATGTATTGAATAATTATGTAACTTGTTCAGTAGATCTAAATTAATAGCATATTATTTTTCAATTTTATAGACAGCATTTAAAAAATGTGGGACTACAGTAGTAGTCTATGGCTTAATTGGTTTTGTTTTTGAATTTCCCGCGGTGTACATGTATCTTTTCACATTTTATGATAAAATAAATTAGAATTATATCATTCTTGTACCATTTCATCATTATCTAGCAATAAATGCATCAAAAGAATTTAATTCATAATATTAAAGTCAAGCATAAGACATATAAAAAGGCACTATTCAACAAGACAAACGATGTCTGAAGTTTGTCCGCGAAAATTACGTCACATCGTGGTGCATCATTGGTAATATTACCATGGTTAAATTTTCAATTTTGCGTGGTTAGGTTACCTTGTGGTTAATTTGTTTATACAAATGGAATAACCGCGCGGTTACCTAACCACAATATATACCGCGGTAATTAACTTACCGTGGTATATTTTAACCATCGTTTATACAATTGGCTGCTGGCAGAATTAATTGCACTATAACTTTGACCCTTATCAAATAAATAAGTCAAAAAATCTCAAACTGTTTCAACAGATGTTTGAACGTAACTAATTTGTTTTTCATTACAGTACTGAATCCATTTTTGTATGTACATTGTGCACTGAGATTTAGTTCCAGACCTCCACGAGGCCATAATGATATTGGTAGCGTTCGACGAAATTTTTCGTTTTTGCAACACATGCCCGATAAGCGACATGCCATGAGTGTTAACTTTTTGTACAAAGGATGTACCTTCGTTGTCCCTGGGATTTTCAACATTTCTTGACCCGAAGGAAGAAAATATGGTATTTCTATCAACATCTCCATTACTGCCGGAAACCAACTCTGTGTTAACCAAACTGGGGCAATCAGTTTGCAATCGCTCTGGTCTGCTCTAAACTTTGCCAGTAGCCTTGGTATTAAGCTGAAAGGAGGGAAAGCATAAAAATATATATTTGACCAGTTCATACTAAAAGCATCAATGAACTCTGCCTCGGGCTCAGGTTTCCAAGAAACACATTTTGTTAATAGTTAATTTATTCTGGAGGCAAACATATCGATAGACGGACATTCCCATAGTTCACAAATCTGGCCAAACAAATTTCTATCAAGCATCCATTCAATGCTATCATTATGATTACGAGATGCAAAATCAGCACAATTTTGAGCACCAGGTATATAAGCTGCTAATACCCAGAAATGTTTTTCTATAGCCCAAAGCCAAATTTTCTTTGCAAGATTATCACAATCTTTAGATTTTATGCCACCCATATGATTAACATAGGACATGGCACAGGTATTATCAGTCATAACTTTTATATGTGAACCATTAGATACATCTTTACAAAAAGACTTAATAGCATAGAATATAGCTAACAATTCCTAATAATTTATATGTTGCTTAGCTTCTTCTGAAGTCCAGCGACCACCTATAGGAGTTATATTTTTTAAATACTATAGAAAGGTATAACATATGTTATATAGGAAACAGCAACAAGATACCATTTTCTTTTTTAGAAATGAAAATAACAGTTATTCAGAAGCCTAATTGACATTTCAAACGCTTTCTTTCATTGATAACGTTATTTTAAGAATAAAATAGGATTCTTCATGTATTGAGAAATGTTAATGGTACATCCATGTTTTGGTACTTCTTCGGATTTTAATCGTCCAGCTAATACTTCTCAGTTAGCCTGCTGGATGAATCTGACCTTTAACCATATACCAAACTTCTTTGTACATCTAAATCTCACCAAAATATTGAGACTAGTCTGGCAGATACGTTCCAATTCCAAAATCCAATTCTCAAATACATTACACTGATATAATCAGCAAATTTGAAAATGATAGGCTTATGTGAATGTTTTGAGTTTTTGTCAGGAAGTCAAAGACTATACTTCCATCCGTCTGATATAAAAAAAACAAGTCATTATACTAAATGTTGAATTGCAAATTTGTAATTTTCAAACTTAAACAGATAGTTTACCAAAGTAATTTTCAAAAATTATGAACAAACAAGTTTGATTTAATACGAACTCAGTTTTGAACGTGTACTAAATATTTATTTTCTAATGCGAGTATGAGTCATCATTAATTTTTTAAATCATTAAATCATTAAAAATGATAGATGGTCAAGTACTTTTTTATTGTAGAACATAGTTTTAATCACATGATAAACATTTCTTGAAGCATTTGGACATTACTGTTTGATTTTGCTAAGCATAATGAGTAAGACTTTAAATACGGGTACTTAATAGTAGTAAATTTTCATGTTATGATTCACATGTCAACCATACTGTAAATTACATAAAAACGAAATGCTTATATTCAACAAAAATATATCAAAATGCAAAATCTATCCATAGTTTTACATCCCTAAAACAAATTAAACGTATTTATACGATCCACAAATGAATGCCTATTATGAGTATAAAGAAAAGTATTTTTAAGAATATAAAAAAGGCCATTTTTGCTCGATAAAGATCTTGTATGAATGAACATGATTGATTAAAAAAAACATTGTTAAATAAGGCATTACTTGGAATTCAATCATTAGGAGAAGACTTACATAGAGTTTTGAAGTTCTCGGTCCAACTTCATACTTAATCATTGTGTCAATTGTCTACATGTACATATTCTGAACAAGGTATTTTAAGGTAGACCATGGGTAATGGGCACCATAAGGAACTGTAAAATTGACAACATAGGACAGTTATATGTCTTCAAGGTCACCTGTATGCAAAATTTAAATAAAATTTACCGTGTGGTTTATGAGTTATGGATATATTTCTGAACTAAGACTTTGCCATTAGAAGGGCTTATTTTCAGAAATGAGGAAACTGCAAATAATCTGTAATATCATCATTATAAAAAATGTTTTTCTATTGCTCATTGTTAAGAAACAAATAACAACATTCAGGTAACACATTACACAAGCAAAATGTTTGTTTCTAAACAAAATGTTCTTAATACGTATAATAATGTTACCCTACCCCACCCACTTTTAACACTAATTTTACCATTTCCCTATCTAAAATGCCTTATTCAAAATATCCCTAAAATTTATCGAAATTAGGGTCTGTTTTCAAAGTTTGCCTAAATTTTCTCAAAGGTATATTAGTTGATCATGCGAAATATAAAATACTTTTACCGTGTAGTTTTTAATTTTTCGAACTTTGAAAATATCTGGTATCATATTTGCTATAAATTTTGGCATTATTTAGCAAAAAAAATACCTAAAATAATTATATAATCTAAATCAAACTTTTTTTCTTCCATAAGGGATCAGAGAGATACATAAATAATGTTAAAAAGAAAAAAAGAAAGAAAAAAAATTGCCCCTTCTGGGGATTGAACCCACGCCCCTCAATTTCAATGTAGTTTACAAGCGATTCTAGCCTATTTGAATACTCTTCAAAGTGGAGGTAATGCATTACCCATGGTCTACCTTAAACTAAACAAATCCAATATTTACCATTAAATTCATTAATATGATAGCTATCATAATCAAAAAGATGCTGGAAATCAAATGGCTGATAACAACTACATATTTGTGTGTATCAACAATGTGAAAATCACTGTGGTCCTCATATCCGAAACCATCAGCCATCATTGCCGATGTTGACAGCAACGCTACCCAGAAATCTTTAAATTCATCCTGTTAAAATAAATTAACACCACAAAATTTGCCGAGTCCCGGAGTATCCCTGTTTAACACATATGTAAATGTAAATTTCAAAGAGGCAGATTCTAAAAAGCGATGGATATCAAAACAAGTATTTTCAAATTCGGTTTTATGAAAGTAGATCAAAGTTAGAGACTGGATTGAGTATACTCATGAGGGGAAAAGGGGAATATCTCTCACGCTATCACTTAAACAGTATTCTATCCTTAACATTTGTATCAATAATTTGATGGACAAGAAAAATATCGCCATCAGTTGTGTAAATAATTTTTATATATTTTCTGCGTTGTTTTGATATATTTCAATTTACCTGCGAATCACAATTCGCAACAAAACGTTATTTATAACTTATTGTCTAGAAAATTCGAAATTCATTAACATATCTATATAATGATGAAATTAAACAAAAAAACCAACCTGCTTTTTGCGGGCACACAGGAACGCTAAAGTAAAAGCTATCAGAAAAATAAGAACGATTGGAAATATTTTACGTATAAACGTTTTTGTGATTCTTTTCAGCATAGAAACATAAATCCCAAGCAAGTCAAATTTCTCTACATAAGATAACAGGTCGACCCATGCCATGAAAATAGCCACTGTGCCTAGAATCCACTGCCATGTCTAAAATATAAATACATAGTTAAGTGTGTTTATTCAGGATCAATATTTAATTTCATAAGAATACAAATTCTGGAAACAATCCAATTAATCGTAAATAGAGACAAAGAAAAAAGTGCTGAGCGTGATTTAATACGGACACACGCGGGTACACACGAACACAATCACTCACACATATGTGCAATTCTTATCAATGATGAAAAAATAAAAACCAATGTAAATGTAACAGTTATATTTAAGCCACAAAAAGTGATAAACTTTTTCACCTGTGTAGAGTAAAGTCAGCTTACACATCGGTGTAACCGTGTTGTCTGACCAGTCTTTATAATGTTCGTATCTCAATTTTGATATTAAAATCCCTTACATTTTGATTGATCATCCAAATTTAAAGCAGGAAAAATTCATGAGTCATTTAGCGGACAAAAGGTTTAATGTTCACCTCTCTAAAGGGGGTATTCTCGCACTCCGATAAGTCGATCAGGAAAGGCAATGCGGTTGTATAAGCTGTCCACTTTATAAAGTTTTTGAACTGTTTAAAATACTCCAACCCAAATGTCACCACAATATGATAAATCTGTGGAATGAAAAAGAGAAAAGTCATTTGTTGATGCTTTTATCAATTCTAGATTCATAACTTTGAAAGGGACAAAGTTTTTCTAATTGGTTATTAGATAAATTTCTCATATTAAAATAGTCTTTATTAAATGAAATGACTTTTACACGTATTAAATGATCGTGTAGAATTAGGTTTAAAACATCAATCCTGTATCGGTGATCATAATCTTTTCATGATTAATAACAAATACGTATTAATTAATGGTTAAAATGATTTGAAAATGATGAAAAGTAGAGAATTACTAAAAAACAATATCTGTTGATAATTTCTTAACAGATCATAAGGATTATTTGAACGGATGCAGATCGTGGCCGAGATGATCGACTCAGTCGAGTTCATTTAGGGCCGAACAAGATGATTTCAATTTACTACTCGGCATTTGTGTAATTCACTCATAGATGGACAGCAACATTCACTACTGTATGTTTTTATTTTAAAAACATAAGGAGTGGTCCATTAGTTACTTCATATTTACTTCATAGTAGATCTATGCAAAATATAAAAATCCAATTTAATTTGTAGAAAATCATGAACATCCGAGCGGCTATTTTAAAGCCGAAACATTGATTAAAATTGTTATTATTTACTCGTAAAAACAGTCAAACTCCTTCGCTTTAACCATTACTTTATTGATGCAATGAAATATTGACAGTATTTAATTTAATTGCAACAGGAAATGTTCTCCACTAAAATAGTCTTACGTTTCTCACGTCTGACATTTTTCACGACCCTCCCGTGAGATTCGTAAGATCTTACATTTTTCACGGGTCTGACGAATCTCACGCTACAGCGGAAAAAAGGTTAAATGTTCACCTCTCTAAAGGGAGTATTCTCGCACTCCAATAAGTCGATCAGGGAAAGCAATGCGGTTGTATAAGCTGTCCACTTAATATAGTTTTTGAACTGTTTAAAATACTCCAACCAGAATGTCATCACAATATGATAAATCTATGGAATGAAAAAGAGAAAAGTCATTTGTTGATGCTCTTATCAACTTTGAAAGGGGCAAAGTTTTTCTAATGGGTTGCTAAATAAATTTCTCATATTAAAATAGCCTATATTAAATGAAATGACTTTTACATGTATTAAATGATCGTGTAGACATCAATCCAGTATTGGTGATCATAATGTTTTCATGATTAATAACAAATACGTATTAATTAATGGTAAAAATGGTTTGAAAATGATGAAAAGTAGAGAATTACTAAATGCTTTATCGAGCAAACAATATCAGTTTTCAATGTTAATCATTCTGTACCTTTCATCTCAAAATGGTAAAATAAAGAATAACATATGACAAGAAACTTTTGCTTACAGACTTCTTATTTACGTAATAAAAGGTTAGTGGTGACTTTCGTTTTCTTGGTCGTGGTCATTGTCTTTGTTTTGCAGTTGTCAGTCGTCAAAATTGTGGTAAGCGTAAATAAAGTTGTTACAGGAATAGGGTCGTCGTGATCATATTTGTATTCCTAGAAGTCCTATAGTGGTAGTCGTCGTTGAAGCTATACTTTAAGTCGTAGAAATGATTTTACAATGTATGCCATCCTGTAATACGTAACCCTATTTAATTTTCGTAGTAATCTTGGTCATAGTGACAAAAGTCTTAGAAATCGTGGTCGTAGAAATCCAACATTTCGTCGTTAAAATTGTAGTCGAAGTATTGCCTGTTGTTGTCATATTCGTCTCAAAGTCATAGTCATATTGAAACAATTAAATACCCCGCTAGCGGTGCGCAAATGCGTTCTATTCCCCCCACCGAGTGCCCCAAATTTTACCGATAGTCACGTGACATGTGCGACAGATATCAGACAGCCAGTAAATCACGTTAAGATTTGAAGAAATTTCTGCTATAAACTGATATTAATCAGCAGCTTTTTAATTGGTCAGATGTCAATGGCTCATAAAATGTTGTTAGAAAATGTTACCGCAACTTGTGACCCTCTCTGGTGCGCTATTTGTGTGTTATGCAATCAATTAGCGTGAAATGTAGGGGTTCGAGAGAGAACAGCCGTTTTATGACACTTCGTTTCATGCGGGTCGGACTAACTTTCAATCTGCATAACTTTTTTAATAATCAAACAATTAAAATGCGGTTTAAATCACATGAAAGGGAATTCATTTACGGGGGGAACCGTGTCAGGTATTTTTGTTTGCTCAATAAGCGACTTAATTATCTATAATCACATTTATGTGAGTACCAAGGAAAATGTCTGTTGTCGCCTTAAGTATTTAACAGTCTAAGTATATAAGAAGTCCAAATTTTCAGACAATCGCTCTCCATTCCGTATGCTTTCAGAAAATAAATTGTACAGAATTCACTTGTATATGTGTTATGACGATGACCAAATTATACGTGTTCATGTCAATTGTGTTGAAAAAATTTCTGTTCTGTTCTGTGTAGAGAAGTGTTTGCCAATTACAGAAAAGCAATTTCTCTTTATAATTTACGTGTAAAAGAAGTTTGTATTTCAAGTAGAAATCATTTTTGTTACCTTTATACACACAAAATCAAATGTGATCTGTAAAACTGTATTTTTCTTTATATTTATTTCATCATATCTGTTACTTTTCTTCAATACTTAAAAATTGTGTTGAAAAAACATCTGTTCTGTTCTTTGTAGAGAAGTAATGATTGCATAAGTATGTCTTTTGAAATTCTTGAACGGTATGTTTGAACGAATGTTAATGTTTAATTGTTTGTATGTGCACTTATTACAGGAAAGCAATTCTTCTTTATAATTTACTTGAAAAAGAAGTTGTATTTCAAGTTAAAATCATTTGTGTTACCTTTATACACACAAAATCAAATATGATCCGTAAATTTGTATTTTCCTTTATATTTATTTCATCATATCTAGTACTTTTCTGCCATACTTAAAAGGGTAACATTTTGCCCAAAGATTTGTGTTACATGTCTTTTTAAACTTTTTATTGTCTTACATGAACTTAACTTAGTCATGAAAACCTTTTACAATTACCAGTATCTTATTAATTAATAATTATTATAAATGTTTTGAATCACGCGATCTGCATAATGAATTTTGATTAAACAAATAAAAGAACGACGGACCATCTAAAATTATTTATTGATAAATGGATTCTTTCTAAAACGGCAAAGGTCTTAAAAACAGTAGTTACTTAAAACATGCATTATTCCTGTGATATTCAGGTTATGTTTTGATATTAACAAACAAATGTTTACCTATTAATACAGGTTGCTGTCCTGTTTTCACAAACGTGAAGGCAGTCATTGTCTTCGTTTTATGGACATCACGACATATGTTTGAGTTCTGTTACCATAAGCATCAATATTGTGGTAAAATAATCCTTGAATTATTCTATGACCTTAAACGCCAAATAAGGAATTCAACTACCAGGTTTTTTTTGTTTAGGCGACTTGTTGCTTATACCCCTAGCTTTAACATTAAATGGTTAAAAAACGATAATCAAGACTGAAAGATGTTTATCCAACTATACTACTGAAAACAATCTACATACATTAATTATTTATGGTATTTATAACAGGTCTTCAATAATTGACCAATTCACTTTAAAAAGTAAACATTTTATATACATAACATAACATAACATAACATAACATTGCCTAGCATAGCAAAGCATAGCATAAGCATAGCATAGCATAGCATAGCATAACATAACATAACATAACATAACATAACATAACATAACATAACATAACATAACATTACATAGCATAGCAAAGCATAACATAACATAACATAACATAACATAACTTAACATAACATTACTTAACATAACAAAACATATTGTTTATTAACATAATATGTTTTTACATATATAGCCATTTACAATGCATGAAATACTAACATGAAATTTTTAACAGAAGAACGTGATCAATTCAAAAAGGATAAGTATATTCATAAAATGTACATTCAGTCAATATATACACAAAACATAAATTTCACAAAAATTCACATATGCGTAATAGATTAGGAACAAAATACATATGATATACTAAGCAAAAATGAAAATACCTTAAACAATTAAATACTCTTTTAATAGAGCAAATTAACTAGTTGAAATTAAGTAACTTAGTAAATTTATTTACCAATGTAATATTACAAACTTGATAGAATATTTTGCGTTCAAGGAATGCTGCCTTTTCCCGTTGATCTTTATTCTAAACTACGCGTACAACATTGGTCCTTGAATGTGTAACATTTAAACAAATTTTAAACAAAATTATTGAATTATAAGATCAACTTATGTGCAGTAGTCCGTTGATCAATAAGATAAGAACGAACAATGGTACAGACTTGTTAACTGAATGTGTTCATTTGTTGTTTTGTTACGTCGAATATTTTGTAGAATTTCGGTGGACAGTAAACCTTATCTTTACTCTGTTATCGACCGACTACTTAAAGAATCATTATGCCTCAGAAATCAATATTTTTCTAATACTTTAGAAAGGTCTAACATGTGTTATATGGGAAACTGTAAGAAGATACCATTTTTGGTCTTAGAAATAAAAATAACAGTAATTCAGTAGCCTAATTAACATTTCAAACGCTTTCTTTAATTGATTACGTTATTTTAAAGATAAAATATGATTTTTCATGTATTGAGAAATGTTAACGTTACATACATGTTTTGGTACTTCTTCGGATTTTAATCGTCCAGCTAATACTTCTCTGTTAGGCTGCTGGATGAATCTGACCTTTAGCCATACACCAAACTTCTTTGTACATCTAAATCTCACCAAAATATTGAGAATAGCCTGGCAGATACGTTCCAATTCCAAAATGTGTTCAATCTATAAACAAATACAATACACTGATATAATCAGCAAATTTGAAAATGATAGGCTTATGTGAATGTTCTCTACTTCCATCCGTCTGATATAAAAAAACAAGTCATTATACTAAATGTTGAATTGCAAATGTGTAATTTTCAAACTTAAACAGATAGTTTACCGAAGTAATTTTCAGAAATTATGAACAAACAAGTTTGATTTAGTA